ACACCGTTCAAAAAAGAAAAATAAATTAAACAGAACCATCAATTACACATAACGAAAATCAACACGTGAACTTACCAAGATGGAGGAAGCAGCTGGAGAAGACGAAGTGGGTTTTTGGGTTTCAGCTGAAATCTGCTCTTCAAATGGAGAGGACGAAGTCGGGGGAGCTTCTTCATGCTGTGGAAAGCTGCCCAGCTGTGACTTCGACGAAATAGAGCTCTGGAGGAGGAGATAGACAAAATGGAGTACGTGATTTTTTTTCCTTATTTTAACCGGTTAACCAAAACAACCAGTTTCACTTGTTTTTAAAAAAGCCCACGTGACTACCGGTGCAGCCACTGCACCATAGAAGTCCAGTATTTTTCTCATCTGCTCAATATGAACGAATTGTGGCTTATAATTTTTTTTTTCTCATCAGTCTTCAGTGTGATTTGTGAAAAAGCCTCCAATAGCTACAATATATACATCATCGATTTCTTATAAATAATATTAAAAAAAAACCTTAATATGAGAAATAAGAAAAACTTCTAAGAAATTTGACTTTAAAAGTCACTAGCATGTGCCAATTGGTTTTCTTTTTTCTTTTTAATTTTATTTTTAGAATTAAAAAAAGATAACATGGTAGAATTAAGAAAATATAACATGGTTAGTTATGTTCCATAAAAGTAGGATCTATTATCTGATTTTGTTTTTTTTAATATGAAAAAAGTGAATATACCATATTATCCTCATTTAATTAATAATTTCAATTTTTAATGTTTGAATTTACCGAAGACATTTTTTGGTATTTTGAATGTTTCACCATTCTCTGCCTTTTGCTTTATATATATAGATGAAGAAAACACACAGTTTTTGCAAAAGTTGCAAATATGCTCCAATGATAGCTTTCAAATTCCAAATACTACACGAATTGACTGCTAGTGCAAGTTCTAGTCATCAACCGAAATTGATGAGGAAAATACCTATTCTTGCTATATTCAGATTGACAAATAGTGCTGGTCGTTTAATTTTCTTCAATGGCAGAAGAAGAAGCCAAAAGGAAAAAAAAAAATTAAAAGACCAGAAGACACAGAGGAAGAACAGAGAGAGAGAAAAGAAGATAGAGGTAACAACGTCAGTTTTATAAAATAAAAAAATACTTATTGTAGACAATGTGGCATACCCATAAGCTTTGGATGAGTTTTTTTTTTGGTCAAGGAAATGAACATGTCATTGCCTTATAGGGTTACACAAGAGCCCAATACAAAAGTCAGAACAAAACAAGGGTTCAACCAAACAAAAAACAAGCCCAATCCAAAAAACAAAAAAGCCCAAAATAACCAATGTTCATGGCTTAAGATACTTGGAAGAAGTTTTGTTTTTGGATTTAAACAACCACCTTAGACTTCCGTTGCGATTAATTTGATTAAATGCATGTTTAATATTCAAATGAACTTTGGAAAAATGTTTTGGAAATTCCTACACAAGCCACCAACATGCATCATGCTCAAGCGATCCAGTAGCAGGTATGGGTCCAAATGGACCATTAAACTACAAAGCCAACACCTCCATAACCTGATCTCAGATCTGAGGTTGGTTTGTAGGGGAGAAACAGCAGCAGCAGCAAACAAGTAGACAACCAAGAAAATTCTAGGGAGAACGGAGGATTTTAGGGTTTGAGTTTTCCTGGGAGGGGGAGAGAAATGGACTGATGGGGGGTGAGTGTATGAAAGGTAAAAAGGGTGAGAGAGGCGAAGTGGCTGAAGAGTAGTGATGGAGGGGATGTGGAGGAGATCTGGGCTTACAAAAGGAAAAACAAACAAGGAAGGGCAAACCAAAGCAAACTGAAAAAAAAGAAGAAAAGGAAAGCCACACCAAAGGGTGGCAGAGAAGCCACACAAGAGGTGGCGGAGGAGCCGCCCCGAAGGGCGGCGGCACAGCCACCAGCTGCTCAGAAGAGGGCGGTGGGAAAGGAGAGAAATTCTAGAGAGAAGGAGGAGCCTCTCTCTCTAAAGCTCTCTCAACATGGTCTAGATTTTATGAAATTAACCTGTTGAGTTGCAATTAACAAATTAAACTAAACCATCATAATTATAAATTCAATTCAATTTACAGGGGAATTAAATAAATGTTGGGGAGCACTAAGAGACAAAAAGTAGGAGCACCACCTAAAAGAGGCTTTAGTTTCTTTATACATCAAAGCTTGATGGCTGTCTTTGTCAGTTAATTTCTAAATTATGTTTTCTTAATATCATTGTGTCTTATTAATAATATTTTTTTAAAGTAAACAATATGATGTGAAGTCAAAATAATCAACCAAATTATCATTTACAGCCAAAATTATAAATCACATTAAATGGCAAAACCCAAAATTTCATTTACAGCCACACTGTTCAAAATTCACACAAAAGAAAAATAAATTAAACAGAACCATCAATTACACATAACGAAAATCAACACATGAACTTACCAAGATGGAGGAAGTGTTGGAATCCCACATCGGTGGGGTGAAAGAAAACAAATGGGTTTAAATAGAATTACCACACTCTAACTAATATCGAGGCCTTTTGTGGTCAAACCCCACACCTGACGGATTGGGCAGGTGGTAAAGTGGGTACAGTATCGGTGTTGTTGGAGTGGGACCAAACGGGCAGATCCAAAACTTCAACAGGAAGCAGCTGAAGAAGACGAAGTGGGTTTCTGGGTTTTGGCTAAAATCTGCTTTTCAGATGGAGAAGACAAAGTCAGAGGAGCTTCTTCATGCTGTGGAAAGCTGCCCAGCCGTGACTTCGATGAAATAGAGCTGTGGAGGAGGAGATAGACAAAATGGAGTACGTGATTTTTTTTTCCTTATTTTAACCAGTTAACCAAAACAACCAGTTTCACTTGTTTTTAAAAAAGCCCACGTGACTACCGGTGCAGCCACTGCGCCATAGAAGTCCAGTATTTTTCTCATCTGTGGATATGAATTTCCAGATCTGGTTTCTCCATTGGGATATAGCAACTACTTCTCTAAGCGCTTTGTCGCTTCTTTATCGGATTGTATATAGAGCTCTTGCTATGGTTCTAGCTCTGGTGCTTGCACCAATACTCTCCACTCCCTTGATTTCGATCCTTTGGTATATACCATACTGGTGTTGTGATTGGTTGCTGTTTTCTTCTTGGTGCACAAGCGGACTCGGCTGTGAAGCAGAAAGTGACTTTTGGAGGAATGTTCTTGTGTTGATGTGTTTCTGTTTTTTGGGGAAATTTTGTTCTTGGCGTAAGATCTGTGCAGCTATGCTGACTTGTGTGGAGGATGTGAATCCCCTCCTTTGTGGCCCTATCGGTGCGGTTGGTGCGGTCTCCGGTCCCTTTGTGGCCACGGTGGCTCGGTTTTATATTTTGTTTTGATTTTGTGTGGGGAAGATTTGTTATACTAGACTGTACTGGTTCTTAGTTTAATCTTCCCTGTGCTTGTAGTACTTTGTTTTTGTGTTTCGTATTTTCGGCTTTGTATTCTCTATTTGTTTTCTGCCCCTTTTTGGGGTCTTAATGAACTTTGATTGACCAAAAAAAAAAAAAACGAATTGTGGCTTATAATTTTTTTTTTCATCAGTCTTCAGTGTGATTTGTGAAAAAGCCTCCAATAGCTACAATATCATCATCGATTTCTTAAAAAAAAACCCTTAATATGAGAAATTAGAAAAACTTCTAAGAAATTTGACTTTAAAAGTCATGAAGAAAACACACAGAGTTTTTGCAACGATAGCTTTCAAATTCCAAATACTACACGAATTGATTGCTAGTGCAAGTTCTAGTCATCAACCGAAATTGATGAGGAAAATACCTATTCAGATTGACAAATAGTGCTGGTCGTTTAATTTTCTTCAATGGCAGAAGAAGAAGCCAAAATGAAAAAAAAAATTAAAAGACCAGAAGACACAGAGAGAGAGAAAAGAAGATACTTAATTGTAGAAAATGTGTGGCATACCAGTTGGATGGTCTACATTTTATGAAATTATTCTGTTGAGTTGCAATTAACAAATTAAACTAAACCATCATAATTATAAATTCAATTCAATTTACAGGGGAATTAAATAAATGATGGGGAGCACTAAGAGACAAAAGGTAGGAGCACCACCTAAAAGAGGCTTTAGAGTTTCATTATACATCAAAGCTTGATGGCTATCTTTGTCAGTTAATTTCTAAATTATGTTTTCTTAATATCATTGTGTCTTATTAATTATATTTTTTTAAAGTAAACAAGATGATGCGAAGTCTTTGTCATAGTCTATGTTTAGTTAGACAGACCCCCACATTTTTGGTTTATGAAATGCTCACTGCTTGCAAGTTGCATATCTTACCCGAGTCATCTCTCATCTCCCCAAACTTTATACTCTTAAGTCCCAACTAAGAACACTGATATTGCCAAAAAACAAAAAGAGAAGAAATAATTTAACACTTCACTGGACCATGGTAGAGCATTTTCTTCTTATCTCCTGTAGCCGGACTTGCATTTGGGCGGCGCATAGAAAGAGAGATGGAAAGAGCAGGGCCACGAGCCATTCTGTATTACTGGCCTGAATTCAATTTCAATCAAGTTCATGCCAAGCCCACCAAACTATAGTCATTTTAAGTGTAATCAAGAGGCTATCTACGAGCAAATAAAATAAATATTGAACTTCAAATTTTTATTATACATACAAGATTCAAAAAAGTGACAACATTACGAAAGTTATACAATATCACGTATACATTACATACCAATGCCATCAAGAATTTATGCCTGTGGTTTGACTTTCCTATCAAATATTCCTCCTCCATAAGTAGAAATGAAAATCTCAATAAGGAGAGGAAACTGCATCCAAATAAATAAGGTGACTGGAACACTAGCAAGAAAAATAATTGGAATAACAATCCATGATTTGTTATGGACCATGATAAAAAGGCCAGAAGAAAAGGCAACCATCATGGCTGCGATAGATATGAATAAGGTGCAAAGGCCTATTATCATCTTTGTTGGCAAGGATTTGAGGAAATCATTTTCTGCATAACGTGACGTAAGGATTCCCAGAAGCATCAACACTGAAGTTGTGGAAAAAAATAACGATATAGCATCCGAAACTATAAAAACCATAAATAACTTTTTTTTTCAAGAATATGGGAATGCCTGTTTCTCCATTGTTTCCACCAGGGACTGTGAATGCTGAAGCAAACATGATGGTAATAATGAGAGCACCTACAACTGTACAAGAAGTTGCAGTTTCTTTCATCCATCTTTCTCCTTCCTTCACCAATTCCTTGTGATTCTTGGTAAACAGAGCACGCGGTGTCAAATTCTCCGCATTTAAAGTGTCTCTCATCCTCGGAAGTACAATAGTCTCCACCTCCTACATTTTATTGAACAAAAGATCAGTGTAACTATAAACGTACGTATTACTCCATGTTTCCTTCCAAACCATTGATTATTTGAATTTTGAGCCCATATAAACCCCGCAGACATGCATCCATGTAGTATAGTAAACCTTTTTTATTTTAATTTTTCTCTCACTGTGCATTTGTATTGTTTCTATTCAAGGTTAATTGGTCCAGCTGGTTTTTCATTAGAAGATGGGTTCGATGTTCGCTGGAAATTACCATCAATTCAAACATTATTTTCTTTTTCTACTTTCTTTTTTTAGTAAATTTGGTTTTTTTCTATTAAATTAATTTTTTATTACCTATAGCCCATTAGCTTATTTTTCTATAAAATAAAACCTAATTTTTATAAGTAAAAGCCAATAAATAGGACCCAATTAGGGATGACATAAATCCCCATCAGGTCGAGTCCCCGGATCCCTGGCCCTAACGAGGGGTTATTTCAGGGCAAAAACGGGAATCAGGTATGGGGATCCCTAAAGTTTAAAAATTCCTATCGGGTATGGATAGGGGATGGTATTGACATTCCCGTCCCCAAACCCGACCCAATAATTATATATTTATTTTCAAATTAATAAATGTATAATAGAATACCCTTAAAATATTTAAGTGGTGAAGGAGGTTTCGAACCCCAATTCCACCTTAAAAACTCACAACCTTACCACCAGTGCATAGTCAAATATATTTCACTAATGAAGACTAGCTTGAGGCAAGTGAGGAGAAAAACGTGAAAAGACTTGGCTAAAGAAGGAAAAAAAAAAACCCATCTGCTAGGGTGTCTGAGGCAGAGAAAAGCTCTAGCGCCTATGAATTGGATGTAAGATATTTATTCGTCTTAAACTACTTAAATGTGGTAATCAACTTGGAGTATAAGACCTATGCAAAGACTAGGAATTCGAGAATGACTGGTTATGTAGTTCTTGGAACTGTGTTTTTCAGTTTAAATCCAAGACTAACAAGAGTTCGCAATAAACACCGACATGTTCTGAGCTTCATCCACCATTAAAAACCACCTAAAAACACCATCTTCAAAGCCGAGATAAAATCTCTTTTTCTAAACTTATGAACTCTTAGCTCCCACACTACAAGCCTCTAAAATCAAGATCAATTTTGATTCACTAAAGCAAGCCTCCTATGCCACTAATACCTGAAGGAGTCATTCATCTCCAGGGCATTCCCTAAAATTGACATATCCTTTCGGAATGTTTTGGGGCCTCATGCCAGAAACTCATAAAAGGTGAACTAGAGCTCTTTACAGCAGTCCACCAGGCCCAGTTCAGCTCTCAACTAAAAAAGCTTCCCACAATATGCAGGGAACCCTATTTTCTCCAAAATCCCAGCTATGTATCTATTCACTGCTTATTGCAAGATCCTTTCATCATGAACTTTCATTATTTACAGGACAATATGCAGGGAACCCTATTTTCTCCAAAATCCCAGCTATGTATTTATTCACTGCTTATTGCAAGATCCTTTCATCATGAACTTTCATTATTTACAGGAAATACAGTAAGGAAATGCTATGGTTATTTATTTATCATAGTTAGATGTCTTATTTTGGTAATTTCTAACTTTAGCGATTTTTTTTTTTGGTAAGAGTGTGACTTTTTAGCGGTAATTGAAGAAGTAAACAATTTATAATGAGCCCCACGAACAATTCCCACATTTCACGGAAAGAAAATGGGTCTTGAGAAGGGGCCATATGAAAACGAATTCATAGAAAAAGAAGAAAACTAACTCTGAATTATATGGAATGATATATTCTGACCTTGAACCATTGCAATTCTCTCTGCATTTGCAACGCTGCACCTGAGATATTATCTAGCTTTGCCAATGGCGATAACATCGCAGCCATATGTAGCATGTTATTGTTAGAGGTATCTGCAAGATTTCCAATCACATTTCTTTCTGTTTTATCGAGTCTATAAATCAGGCTATAAATCCTTTCTTGACGACATTCAATGGCAAACTGCAAGGGGTTTCTTTTATTTTGATTATTGCTCCACACGAGGTCTGGACTTGCTTGGAATATACGATCAATAAACTCGAAAACCCCTAGCTCGACAGCTTGGAAAATGGCTCCACCACATAAATCTTCCATGTCTATACCATCTGAATGTTTTATCACTTCACACATGTGATCTAGAAGTCCAAGGGATTGAGAATGGATCAATTTTATTTCACGTATGCGGTTGATTCCTAGGTTATCATTGCAAAAAATAAAAAAAACACAAAAACAAAAGTCATATAAATCCTTCAAGAAAAACTGAATTTTAAAACCATTGATGGAGAAAAGAAAAACGACAAGTGGTAAAGAATGTAGCATACCCAATAGTTCAAGGAGATTCGTGATCAGACCTTGCAATATACGTAGCACAGCAAGATAAGTTCAAAATCCGAAATATGATGGAGAAATGTATGCCATAACAAAATGTAAAAAACGAAAGAAAAATAAAATGCGCACGTGTTTACATGTTTTGTTTGAACATTAGCTCACATGAAAAGTTCCCTAATAGGTGCAAGGAATATTTTCACATTTTGTTTGAACAAAATGTGAAAAACGATAATAGTTTATTGATGATGATGGAAGTAACTAGTAAAAAAAAAAAAATCGATTGGTCCCTAGTGGACATAAGGGTTCAGTCGTTAGACTAACCAAGTAGCCTATACTCTCTTTCGGAATGGCCATCAGAGAGAACCTTAATGTCCAAGGGGGATGATCCCTTTTTATTTGCTCTCTTTCCTATGAGCTGGGCAACCCAAATAAGCTAGCTGGCCTGTGGGCATGTAGGATTTCAACTTTCTTTTTTAACAAATTTACATACACAAGTAAATCTAGTTGAGCATAATGTGCCAACCCATCTGTTATGCTCAAATTTTAATTTAAGTGATAGAAATTACTGTACTATGTCAATTTAAACCTAAGAAAATACTATGTACTACGTCAATTTGTATCACGACTTGTGAATTTTTGGATCTACCACAGAAAGTGATACAGAGAATGTAACCCTTATTTTTCAGGAACACATCAATTGATATGCGTCTAACGCTTCAAGCGGAAGCTAGTTTTCATCAATTTTTTCGACTTGTAACCCCTGTTTGACATGGTTGATTTTTAGGGTCGGAACAACCTTTTTTGGACTTAAATTTTACAATAATTTAAAAAGTTTTAGAACTTGAAGTCTAAGCAATGAATGGTCGACCATCAAGATTTTTTCCTGCTGGCAGCTGCATCTGTTGTGCAAGATGGAAGAAAGTCTTGCAGGGAGCTGGATACTATGGATGATACTCCGCTCCTCATATATACAAGGAGGAAGTCCTCCCTAAATGTAATGTGAGACCTAGAATATTTTGAGGTATACTTGGGAATTAGTTTATAATTTTTAGAGAGCTTATTTGGATGTCATAAGTTGAAAGTACGTGAGATTATGAGTTCATAGCATTTTTCGGTGAATTTTTCGAGTACATATGTATTTTTAAGAAATTTTGAACATTGGTCCACTCATAGGAGGACATGTGGCAGCTGATGGTTGGGTTGCTTGGAAAAGAATAAATAATTGGAGAAGCGGTGGATAAAAGCCTTAAAGTCGGCTGATTTCTTTCTTCCTCCTTCGAATTAACTTGAAACCAGATGTCAGGTATGGAAGCATTCACCAAATGCTAAGCGCACTAATGGCTCTCAGGAACCAAGACATCACTACAAAAGGACGCCGCAACTGTATCTTACACTCAACGCTCATTTTAACAGTAGAACTGTGGGAAGCCTCCCATTTTTTGGGTCTCCCGCAACCCATCTTGGTTGGAGTACTCACAAAAAACTAGAGTCATAAGGTCTAAAGGATTAGAGAGTACCGAATCCACATATGCGGGAGTAGTAACCGATGGACCAATGTGATCGCCAATAACTAGAGTCACTGGTATATGGGGAACAACCATGGTGGAAACTCCCAACATCGAAACATTCAGATTTAATGGAGAAACCAACGGAGAACGAGCAGCATCATCAGAAGATCCGACATGGCGACAAAGAGACTTGATCACTTCAAGTACAATGGGGTGGCGTGGTAGAGACAAGGAGGAGAGAGAATCCTTAAGGTCATTTCGATCCCGAGAAGATGATTGCCCAGACCGAGCATCCAAACTACGACGATCACCCAAGCCATCATTATTCCGAATACCATCCTGACTTGAGGAATGGCTAGGGCTCCTATAAGGAGGTGAATTGTCGAGGAGCGACGTGCTGAAGTACCAATAGATTTACCCCGTAGATTGGTGTCACCCTCTAAATCAACAAAAGTAGAGGTAAACTGGGCTAACAAATTTGGATTGATGGACCCATGAATGATTTCATACTTTTCGATTGGTACCACCATTTGTTCTCCCACCTCCAGAAAGGTAATTGGTGTCCGACGAAGAAGGGGTTGTGTGACGTCAAACTGCACACGATAGGAATAAAGCGCCTCACACAATCAGTACCATCACGATTATCCACCCAAAGAACTTTCGCTAGCCTCAATTGCTTTAGCAATGGCGATAGTCATATAGAAATGAGGAACACCAGGGAGCTAAACCCAAAAATGCCAAATGACATAGACATAGAATGCATAATCCCATCATCTGGGAGGTCTGCCAACAAAATCAAAGAGCATCGAAACACCCAGGGCTCCAAATCAAGGACTCATTTTTTCAGAGTTGCGAGAAGGTTTTGATGAACCCATCGCGATTGACAGGTTGATCTGTAAGGACCTTAACTACAAGACCATAAATGAATCCAACAAAACTATCGAAAGTGTGAGAAGAACCAATACCAAAACCTAAAACTAAACCCTAACCCTATACCAAAGACGCATGTCCCTCCTCACGTGCGAGAGAAAATCTTTGAATGGCACTGAAGGTTCAAATAGAAAAGTTCTTCAAAATCTTGTTAAATTCATAATTACTTTAGTTCTAGAACTCCGATTGTGTTGACCAATAATACTTTTGGCTTTAATTACTTAGAGAAATAATGAAAGATGGAAGAACATAACAAGGTCATCCTTCTTTGTGTGACTGTATGTGAAGACCCGTATTTTAAATGGATAAAAGAAGATATTTATCATTTGGATAAACTTGGACGATATTATCTTTTTAAGATATTTATCTTTTGGATAAACTTGGATAATCTTATCTTGTGAGGATATTTATCTTTTGGATAAACTTAGATGATCTTATCTTGTTATCCACCCAAAGAACTTTCGCTAGCCTCAATTGCTTTAGCAATGGCGATAGTCATATAGAAATGAGGAACACCAGGGAGCTAAACCCAAAATGCATAATCCCATCATCTGGGAGGTCTGCCAACAAAATCAAAGAGCATCGAAACACCCAGGGCTCCATATCAAGGAATCATTTTTTTATCCCGATCACAAACAAAGCGCACCCAAAAGCTGTTGGAGTCAATTTCCTTGATAGGGACATCTGCAGAGCCTTTCTAGAGTTGCGAGAAGGTTCTGATGAACCCATCGCGATTGACAGGTTGATCTGTAAGGACCTTAACTACAAGACCATAAATGAATCCAACAAAACTATCGAAAGTGTCAGAAGAACCAATAATCACACCAACCTGTCCACGTGGCATGAGAACAAATTGGCTCCCAAAGGACCATTCAATATCAGTTATGGTAGCGCCGCGATCAGAGGTTGGAGAAGACATGGAGACAATGGTAGCAGCTGAAAGGAGACCAACCCCAGTCGTAAGAAAAACAAACCACCAAAAACCCCCAAGACTCTACTGAAAAGACAAGGGGAGGTCAATGGCGTGAGAAAAAGCCAACATGAGCGCACTAGACCCAAGGGTATTGAGACAGTGTGGAGGATCAAATGATACTAGGGCGATGATGACGACGGGATGAGTAGAGGAGGCCAATCGCGATGATGGCAGCTGGCTGAAGAGACTAATACCAAAACCTAAATCTAAACCCTAACCCTATACCAAAGACGCATGTCCCTCCTCACGTGCGAGAGAAAATCTTTGAATGGCACTGAAGGTTCAAATAGAAAAGTTCTTCAAAATCTTGTTAAATTCATAATTCTCAAAACCCTAGCCGAATTTCCTCTCTCTCTCTCTCTCTCTCTCTCTCTCACCACCCCTCTCACTCTCTCTCTCTCACGGCTAAGCGCCACCACATACGGCTTCACCCTGTGAGAGAAAACTCCATCCACTTTAGCTATTGTCATATCTTTATTAAGATCCAATAGAATTAACTTAGGCATTGAAGGGTGTGAAGACCCGTATTTTAAATGGATAAAAGAAGATATTTATCATTTGGATAAACTTGGACGATATTATCTTTTTAAGATATTTATCTTTTGGATAAACTTCGATAATCTTATCTTGTGAGGATATTTATCTTTTGGATAAACTTGGATGATCTTATCTTGTTAAGATATTTATCTTTTGGATAAACTTGGATGTTCTTATCCTTTTAATATTAAAGTTTATCCTATCCCTATAACCACTATAAATAGGAGCATAACCTTATAGTTTCAAAACATGATAAATTAGAAAGAAATTTAGAGAGAAGAAGAATTGTTAAGAAAAAGAGTGGGAGACTGAGTTTGTGGATGCGGTGGAAAATTGGGAAAACACCTTACATTTCTAGCAAAAGTTTTCGTGAACACTATATTATGCGTGATATGATTATTTGATTAATATTCTTGTTACAATTGAATATTTTTCCTGGAATGTTTATGTGTTCTAGACTGGTTGAATAATGTTGGCATAATTATATATATACATTGGTGATGTTTTAAATGTTACATTGTTGTGAGATATATGGATATGTGAAATGCATAATGTCATGGAAATTGGTTGGAATTGTTGGATTGAGAAAATAATGATGGAAAAGAGGGTAATGGAAATAGTTTTTTGTGTAGTTGAGTCTAACTCTTGGCCGGCCGGTACCAAGTCTCAGGGATCCCACAGTGCACACGGTTTTTATTGGGTGATTCGGGACTAGCAATAGGGAGTTAGACAAGATGACTAACAAAAGGGAATTATGGAATGATTGAAATGGGTGTTAGTTCATATAAATGGGCATTTGAGACCAAGTGGTATAAGCATGGTATGGGACGTGCAGGTCTGCTTGTCTAGTTATATGAATTAACGGGAGTAAATAAAGAGCATTCATTCATGTATT